AAAGAATTTACGTGGGCATATGCATAACCCATGGACACAGGCAAGATGGGGCGGAGGCCTGGGGGGCGGGGTAGAAGAGGTCAATGGGGAAAAGGGGGACAGCTGGAATACTTTCAGCAATGAAGATAATTTTTAAAAAAAGAAAAGAGAAAAGAGCTTGTTGGTTTTTGTTCATCTCTTAAAGGTGAAGGAACATCTGAAAAACTACATCTAAACTTTACCGTCAGTGCTTGAGAGACGTGGGTTCAGCGGTGTTTCACGAACACCTTGCTGAATTTTGCGCGCAGCTGTCCTGGAACAGGGGAGGGAGGTCTAGAGGCCCAGCCAAGATTTCACAAACTGTTTCCAGGCCCTTTCGTCTGGGGGTAGGAAAGTGCTGCGGGGCAGGCCCAGCTCCCCTCCTCCAGGAACAGAGCGGCTGCTCCTCCCTGGGACGTGGCCCCCAGGCCCATGACCAGTGACTGAATGACGAGGGGCGGGCGTGTGAAAACCCAGCCCCCTGGCCATGAGATGGAGCAAACCCCCGGCACAGCTCACACCCAGCGGCCCCCATGCGAGCAGGCAGTGGGCCAGCTTCAGCTGAACCCTTATCTCTGCTTAGTTCCTCCCCCTGTCCTGTCCTATGTGCCAGTCCCCTTCCCTTCACTTCAGTCACTCTCCCAACAAGTTGCATAGTTAAGAATCCTTTCTCAGGCTGTCACTCAGGATCCTGTCCTCAGACCAGCGGTGCCCAGCACTCCATCTCTGCGGGCTGTCATTAAAGAGGTGAATCATGTCAATCATTTAAAGTATTTTCCTGATAAACTTTTTACTTAGCATCTTCCATCAAATAAACGTTAGAGAGAATGAAGCAGTAATATTTGTCAAGGGTTGGGAACTGAGATTGTGAAACGGGGAGGCTCTTGGGCCTAAGGGAGAGCTTGTGGTGCTGCAGCTGCAGAGTTTGGAAACTTTGAAGTATTTTTTTAAAAATATATTTTTATGGTTTTGGTTTTCAGAAAGAGAGGAAGGGAGAGGGGGGGAGAGAGAGAAACATTGATTGGCTGCCTCCTGCAAGCCCCCTCCTGGGGATCGAGCCCCCAACTCAAGAATGCGCCCTGACTGGGAATTGAACCGGCAACCTTTCGGTGCACAAGCGGACGCTCAACCAACTGACCCACACTGGCCAGGGCAGAAACTCTGAAGTCTTGAATGTTTATTTTCATGGAAACAGTAAAATCTTTGGAAAATGAAACTTTTGGGGGAGCTTTTCCTTAAGGAGTGATATCCTAACAGAGATTTTAATACTTTTAGACTTACAAGATTAAGTTGGTGAATGAAAGAAAAGTGGAAAGCACTATATCAAAATGAAGAAATTATGGCATGCTGCCTGCAACAAAGCAAAATACAGTATCAATTCCATGAGAAAAGCTATAATATTTTTAATACAGTAATTTTATATGAAAGTGCATTTGTTGCTTGAGGGTAAAAGTGAAAATAAATGAATTCTAAAGTCACTTAAATTTATTAAATCCTGATACTTTACCAGGTGGTATTTGTAAGGTTCTGTGGAAGGATAAATAAAACTAAACTAGTAGATTAAGTGATTTCTGTGATTTAGAAGTCTAAGGTAATAGAAATAGTGGTTCAAGCAGCATTATAAGAGCTGAGACATGTCCAAGTTTTATCATTGTTATTGTCCATCAGGTGTTGAAGGTTTAACATGGTGAACAATATCATTGACACGAAGAGAAATTTTCTATTTATTGGAACTACACATTATCCAGAGGCCACCAATTTCAAGAAATTCACTGGAAAAGCTCAAGGCAGCTCCCATGACACATCATCCTAGACAGTGAGCCCTGTCTCAAAACAACCACACCAACCATTTCGAAACATCAACAGAATTTTGGAAAGCATGAAAACGATTCAATTAATGATTGGCAGGAGAATTTATATCGCTTATTAAGTAGTTTTGCAGTATACTTTAGGTTATTTAGAGAGAAAGCAGGGGTGGTGATGGAATATATTTAAAATTTTTTGCCCTGGCCAGTGTGGTTTAGTTGGTTGAGCGTCACCCTGTGCACCAAAAAGTTGCCGGTTCAGTTCCTGGTCCACGCACATGCCCAGGTTGTCGGTTGGTGTTTCTCTCCCACATCAATGTTTCTCTCTCTCTCTCTCCCTTCCTCTCTCTAAAATCAATTTTTTAAAAAACACACATATTTAAAAACAATTTTTTTATTCATGCATTAAGTTACATATTATATAACTCTACTGGTTGTTAAATATTTTAAATAATGCCTCTGCATACCTCGTAGAGGTTTTGTAAGGATTAAATGGGATTGTCAGTGTAAAGCTCTTAGACAACAGGAAGGAATATAGTAACTTTACTGTCTGTATGTCTCTATTGTGACCAATCTTATCAATATGCTGAATGACTGTGGACCATGAGCACATGGATTTGGCAGGATTTGGGCCCCGAGGAATGTGCCAGGTCCATGGATGAGCTTTGTCTTTTTCCATTTCATCTGTCACTTCTGACTTATTGTGTAACCTTTGACAAATTATGTTCCCTTTCCTGGGGCCTCATGGAAGGGCTCCTAGCAACGTTTACACACAACTGTAAGCGGCACTTCCTCTGGTTTCCTCTGCTATATTTCTGTCCTGGCCGAGGTCTGCGAGCTTCCTGCCCCAGCTGAAAAGTTCCACACACGCAAATGCCCCAGCCATGTCAGCTTTTCCGAAAGGCCCCCGTCTTCCCAGGCACCACGGCTCTAGGGGCCCAGCCCCGCCCTCTGGCCAGGCGAGGATGGATGAGATGCTGCTTGGTCACGTATCCAAAACAAAACCTCCAACTCCCTTAGCAGAAATTCTGGCACCCCCAAGGTCATCTTCCCAGAGATCAAACTTGTGGGGTTCTTTCCCTTCCTCTTCTTTAGTGAGAGAACTTGCCAACAAGATCACAGTATGAAAATCACTGTCAATCACTGAGTGCCGTCTGTTTTAGAAGAGTAGGCGCCTGAGAAGTAACTTTGACTTGTCAGAAGGGAATTGGGGCCTTTTACAAAGGAAGAGGATTTGCTTCCAGACAGCAGTGGGCAGCCAGGGAGGAAGTGGGGGGACAGCAGGCCCTGGCTCTGCTAAGATCCCAGTGGTGACTGGGTGTGGGACTGGGAGAGAATGTCCACCACAGTCTGGGACCTAGGGGGTCCGAGCAAGGAGCAACTGGGGTGAGTTGGATTGTCCTATAGGTTAGATACTGTCCTAGAAGAACCCGCACCTGGGCGGGGACCTGGCTTCCCCGCAGGGAGGGCGCCCGGCCACAGGAATGTGCGAGACTGCAGGGCCAACCCTGGGCGGCAACAAGAATCAGTAACCCAAGTGGCCCAGTCACAGCTCCCTCCATTTGGGAAGCCCTTGAGCACTTCCCACACCCCACTTCCGAGTGGGGACACTGGAATATGTGGTTTTACCTGTGAACACTTCACAGAGCCAGGAGAATTCTGGATCAGGTAGAAGTGAACCACAGTACACTCCGGGATGTAATTTAGAGACTCGGAGACAGCTGGGGGCCTTGTTAAAATTCAGAGTCCCGGGTCTCATCCCCAGTAAGTCTCGAGTGGGGCCTAGGAATCTACATTTAACAAAATCAGGCATTTCTGATACCATGCTTGTGTGTGTCTGCTCTAGAGTCAATACTTGCTTCCCAAGACGGGAGCAAATTTCCATGAAGTTCCTTTTGATATAGACGGAACCCAGAGAGAGACGATCAGGTGGGTTTACACAAAAACAACACGATGGTCACATTTTTAACTCTCTCTTCCCTGCTGGTCAACCTCCCCTCCAGCCTGAGTTAGCACAACCCACCGCCTCTCTCTCCTCAAGAAAAGTCATTGAGGAACACGGGTTGGTCAACCCCACCAGTCACATTACGCCAGTCACTTGGTCAGAAAGGAGGAAGCTCTCTAAAGCGACTCACCACCAGGATGCCACCAGCCCTCCTCTGGCCTCCTCTTCGATTTCCTTTGGGAGAATGCGGAGCCATATGAACAAACTGGGGCATCTAAGGCTTGCATCTCACAACCAAACTGTGATGTGGAAAAAGAGTGTTTTTGTGTTTCTTTTCTCTCTTTCGGCTCTAAAAGCAGAACTGGGCAGTGAGACAATGAAAAAAGCAAACAGTAAGTTTCATTTACTTCTCTCTTGTACTAAAACTGTCTTAGCAGAACCAGTGGATGCTCGGCTTTCAATGTCGTCATTCGTGAGTAAGTTTTTCTACGCTTTTAGATAAATACGCAGAGTAAAGTCTCTCCCGTTACCTGCTGCTTAAAATGAAATGATTTTTAGGGAGGGAATTGGAGCATCTTTCCTGAGACTCAGAGATAAAATATTGTTAACTTTTAGGTGTGATAATGGTAATTGTTATGTTTATAAGAGTCCTTATCTTTTTTTTTTTTTAATACTCACTCGAGGATATTTTTCCATTGCTTTTCAGAGATAGTAGAAGGGGGAGCGAGAAAGGGAAACTTCAATCCGAGAGGGACACATCAATTAGTTACCTCCCCCAAAAGCCCGACCAGCACCGGGAACCGAACCTGCCACCAAGGTACGTGCCCTTGACCAGAACTGAACCAGGGACCCTTCAGTCCGAGGGCCGATGCTCTAACTACTGAGCCAAACCAGCTAGGGAGAGTCTTTATCTTTTAGAGATACAAACTACTGATATCCTCCAGCCAGAGGTCACCAGGGATATGCACATAGTTGAACAAAGCTGGGTCTGGGGAGAAAATGTATAGCATGGAAATCATGGGTGTCTCAGGCAGAGGGTGTTAGAAAGGTCTTATGAGATCTGGGTCTGTGTTAGGCGATTTGGAGGAAGAGTCAAAGCAGCAGGCTCTGCTCTGGGTTGGATCCCATTAGAAAGTGGAAATAATATGATTGGGCATCTTAATAATTCTTACCTAAAAGGCCAAAACAGCAAAGCAAAAGCTGCGACTGATAAAGCAGCAGCAGTCACTCTTATTAGTCAGTTTAGGGGGATGTTTGGCCACTTGTGTGCTTTGGACAATGTTCGTGTCTTTATCTGTGTCCAGACATGATTAAGGAGTCGTCTTGTTTTTGTCTTGATCCAACGCGGTCAGAGTGGCCTTGTCTGGCATTGATATTCTAGCTGTGAACGACAGGTCAGTCCCTCGCCAGGCCAGCTCCCAGCTGCAGGGGCTGCTTTTCTCTGTCTCAATACTGAAACTTATGGACTAAATAACATGTGGTCTGAGGTTTGCTTTAAAGTAATGGAAAGGGGGGTGGGCAGATGAAACAGGATGGACCAGGCGTTGATCATTGCTGGAGCTCCGTGAGTGGCCCATGGGGGATCACTATACTCTCTTCTCTACTATTACTTTGAAAGTTCTTATTTTGGAAATTTAAAATAAATAATGGACTATCTAACAAGCTATCAGACATAACATTTTTTCACAGAACTTGGAACTTTAATATTTCTCAGTCAGCACAGCCAGTCTTTAGAGGGTCAACGTCAGGCTCTTACTGGCCGGAGAGAGAGCAGGCGCAAAAGAGCTCGCCATGGCCACCATCTGTCATTGGAGGCGCTTCTGTAGGCCCTGAGGCTTCCTCACACACTGGTCAGCCAGGCGGTGTAGGCGAGAAACACCCTCTTAGGAAAGTTCAACAGTGTCTCTACTGCCTTGATCCACAAAATGTGGCCAGACGTCAAGGGACATTAACAAGAACTTTCTCTTGTGTTATTTTGTTTTCCAGAATTCCCTTCTCCAACTTTGGACTCAAAAACAAATGTAGTCATGAAGGGTCAAAATGTATCTCTGATTTGTTCCAACCAGAACAAATCACTACAAATCATCTATTCTTTGTTTCTGCATGAGAAATTCATGAAAATCCAGCATAGCAAAGGGGAACCCGTGATTTTTAACCTAAGCATCTCAGAAGCCCATAATTTGGGGCCCTACCAATGCAAAGCCGAAGTTTCCAGATGTTCTAAATACAGTCATAAGTTCAACTTCACACTTGCAGGTAAGTAGAACACTCGTTCCTCGCGGTCCTGTGATTTGTAGGACCCTTTCCCATTCTACAGTGGTCTCTCTGTTCCCCTTGCAGGCACTCACTCTAGAGCCCTGGAAGTATGTCACTGAGATATTCTTAATAATTCCATTTCACTTTCTCTTCCAAAGATTTTTGGCTATTTCAGATAACAATAGGCTGATTGCCTAAGATAAAAAGTCTTCAAATTGTTGAAACCTTTTCTAGATGCTTTATTCTAGGATTCCCACCAGGTAGGCAAAAATGACTTTTTCTCTGAAGAATCAAGGCAGAAGTCTGAGAATCAGTGTTGGACCTTGTGGCAAGGGTCTCCAAAGCCCCAGGCTTGGCCCAACTCTTCCCTTTGCAGTGACCATGTACCAGGTGTCCCATCAGCCCATGTTCTTCCTGCCCAACCACATCTTATTATTTCTATATTTTTCTCTGCCATCTTTCCACCCTAGGCCTCTCGCAATCTAGCAATAATGGGCTCCTCTATGCAGTGACCTTGATCATAAACTCCCGGGAGGGGGAGAGAGGGTTTCCAGGTAATACATGTACAGTGTACCTGGAGTCTTCTAAACATAGGTGCCCCGACCTACTGATCAAATCTTTGAGTGGTCCTTGGGCCTTTGCTCTCCTTTATGGTAGCCATTATTAGCCACATGTGGCTATTTAAATTCTAATTCAGGCCGGCTGGGTGTGACCCAGGCGATCGGGGTTCGATTCCCGGTCAGGGCACATGCCTGGGTTGCAGGCTCGATCCCCAGTGGGGGGCGTACAGGAGGCAGCCGATCAATGACTCTCTCATCATTGATGTTTCTCTCTCTCTCTCCCTCTCCTTTCCTCTCTCTGAAATCAATAATTTTTTTTTTTTTTTTTAATTCTAATTCATTAAAATTAGACGGAACAAAAAATTCAGTTCCTCAGTCTCCGTCACATTTCAGGTGTTCAGTAGCCACCGGTGGCTGCCGTATTAGACAACATTTCCATCATTCCAGAAAGTTCTAGGGGGCGTCTCTGCTCGACGTCAGTGGTTCTTAGCTTTTCAGGTTATAACTGTTTTAACAATCTAATGATAGAGTGGTCATTGGCCTTTCCCACTGGCTGCAAGCTTCTTGACTTCTCAAGAAGGGTGTCCTTCAGCTTTGGGACCACATCGGGGAATAGAGGAGGGGTTCAATCCATGCTTGTGGACTGAGTGAGTGAACCCAGTCTGCCTGGCCCTGTAACATGCACTCTCATTTTTCTAGACCCAGTGATCACTCCCATGCTGAACGTTACTGTCATTAAAAACCAGACAAACAGTTATGTAACACTGCGTTGCATTTCATTCAACGGCTCTCTGCCCATCAATTACACTTTCTTTGAAAAAGACATCGCCCTGTCACCAGCTATTTCCAAGCATGTAAGGGAGCCTGCTGAGCTTAATGTAACGAAGAAGAATACTGGAGCAGGGGGAGAATATAGGTGTAAAGCTGAAAACAGACTGCCCAGCCTTGCAAAATATAGTCATCCCATCACCATGCCGTCAACAGGTAAGGGCTACCTGAGCTCTTTCAACAGCGTCTGGATTTGCTTCCAGAAACTTCTGCCTGTTCACGTCCCACTTTGGCCCCCTGCTTTCAAGCGCCTTTCCTTTAGTAGGGTCCATACAAACTGTAATGGGATTGCTTTCTGCCATAAAAACAAAACAAGAAAACATAGAAAAGCCTAGACACTGTGGCAGGAAGGGACCGTGCAGTGGGGCTTCCTGCCTTCACCCTGCTTCCTGCCTTGGCCTTCCACTGCCCAGGTTTTGAGCAATCCATTAGAATTTGCATCTCTCCTAGAGCTGCCAGGTCTCTTTTCTTTTGCTTTTCCGTTGACTTCTAACACCTACGTGGCTGTTTATTGCCCCACTGCTAACACTTGGTGAGCCTAGACTTTCAGTACCACCCTTAGCTTGGGGCAAGAGGGGCCCTGTCCCTTCCCTGAGTTTTGGAGGGCACTGCATGGCCATGCACATTCCCTGTGCACAGAATATGCCCACCTGGACCCTACATCCCCACTTTCCTACCCAGCATCCTGGGTGCCTGGGCCCAAATTCCCTGCCCAATCAGATGACCTGCACAAGCCTCTGTCTCAGTTTACCCTCCCAAGGGTGGCCACAGTGAGGATGCGAGTATTCCTGGACCCAAACAAAGGCAGCTGCTTGGGGGGGAGGGGGTGGCATTTGGACATGCAGGCTGGGTCCACATGCACGCAAGGCCCCTTAGGGTGCAGGTCAGAGCCTGGTGGGAAGGGGGTGAGGCCGGATCTGGGGCTGACTCTCCCCCATGCTGCCGTATTACAATGCAGAGCTCCAAGGGGTCTGAGAATTCTCGATTCAAACCTGGCCTTCCAGTTCCCTCTGAAGCTATATTGGTTGAGATAGGAGGATTGGACAAAAAGCTAGGTTAGCAAAGGCAAGAGGCACACCTGCGCATTGAACACTTCACCTGGCCTCACCCTCGAAAGAAGTCCTAACAAGTGAGACAGTCTGTGGGAGTCAGGCCCCAGAATCAGGCTTTTGCCCACAAATCACAGCCCTTCCATTTACTAGCTGTGTGGCCTTAAGAAAGTCACTTAACCTCTCTGAGCCTTACTCTACTCATTTGTAAAATGAGAATGATACTAATAAGATAAATAAGGCAATGCATGTAAAGTGCTTAACACAGTGCTTCGCATATAGTTAACATGCAATAAATGGTAGCTGTTTGACATAAATTATGCCAACATGACTAAGGGCTTTGTCCAATAACTGGCCAGGCCGTTCTGAAGCTTATGACCTAACACTGTGGCCACTGTTAAATGCTGTGCTCACCCCTTGTGTGACCCTGTGGGAGATGCACTTGGTCATGACTTTAAGAACTTCAGTACAGGGACCAGGGTACAGAGGACATTGGTTGCCTTGGGAGACAGCCGTGATCGCCCTTTCCAGAACACTTCACAGTTCAGTGTCACTGGGCGAGAAAGCTGTGCGGTGACACTGAGTGCCATCTTCTTCCAGATGGAGACCGCTGTGCGTTATGCCTGCAGCTACTGCTCCCAGTGTTATTACTGGTGCTATTTGTAATAATACTTCTGGCGTCTTGGATACTGTGCAAGTACAAAGCAAGTAAGTTCTTCGGGAGTTTTTCCATTGTTTCCCATGGGTTTTGGATACAGACAGCAGGGAGAGGGTGAGGAGGACGGGAGAGGGCAATCAGAAATGATGTGAAGAAATAAAGAGAAGAAAAGCCTTCGAAAGGGGACAGTAAATGAAACTGACTTGCCGTTTCTTATTTAGATTGCTCGCGGGTGTGGGACCAGTGCAGTCCCACAGGGCCGGGCCTAAGAGCCCCACACTCAGTTTAATGCTCTGCTGTGGTCGCTGCCTTGAAATTCTTAATACTATTTTTTTTTACTTTTCAAAATTACTTTTTTAAATTGTGGTAGAATATATATGACAATAAAATGTACCATCTTAGCCGCTATTAAGTATACAGCTCACTGGCAGCGAGTATTCTTGTTTTGTGCAGCCACCACCACCAGCCATCCACAGCACTGTACTAACTTGTAAAACCGAAACTGTCCCCCAACACCCACTTCCAGTCACTTCCCCCTCCTTTTAGCCCCGGGCCACCACCATGATTCTAGCCACTCTAGGGGTGACCTCATGTAAATGGAATCTGTCCTTTTGTAACTGGCTTATGTCACTTAGCTAATGTCCTCCAGGCTCATTTGTGTTGTGTTCTTGGCTTATTCCACCTTTGGGCCATAGCGAATAGTGTGCTATGAACACAGATATACTAATGTTAATAATTTTTTAACCAGAGGCCCCGCATTTTCACTTTGCCCTGAGCCCTGCGAATGATGAGCAGGTCCTGACTGCCAGCTCCTCGAAGGCAAGAGCTTTGCCTGGTATTTTTCAGCGACCCCACGGGGTATGCCCCTCGGAGGACACTCAGTACGTGGTGACAAACAGGACCAGCCTTCCTCTCTGCCCCACCCTACGTGCTTCCCGAGCCCCAGTGGCGGCTTTTCTTTATGTGTCTTATGGCCACCTCTAGTTAAGATTTCCAAGAGGCTTCTTCATTTGGCACACAGGTGTAGAGGATATCGAGATCTGCACAAAAGACACTTTGTGTCTCAGCACTGGCACCCGCCTGTGATCCTGCCTGAGCCTCAGCATTCTGACCCATCGAATGGGGTCATGGGAGAAACGGTCACGGCTGGAGAGAGAACTATGTGATGAATGCTAGGTGCCTGTGACTCCTCCTGCCATCTCTGGAGAGTGAGAATTCAGAGACGTCAGGGATCCAGTTGACATGAAACTGGAAAACAGATGTCAAAATTTGTATATCTCATACATTTTTTTAATCTTCACCCAAGAATATGGTGTGTGATTTTTAAATTGATTTGAGGGAGGGAGACAGAGAAAGAAACATTGACCGGTTGTCTCCCATACTCTCCCGCACTGGGGATCGAACCCACAACCTTTTGGTGTATGGAACAACACTCCAACCAACTGAGACACCCGGCCAAGGCAGACATCTTATACACTTTTAAAACAAGACTTTCTTCCTATAAAAAGCCCAGGCTTTTGCAAAAGTGGAATTAATATTCCTGAGTACCAGCCACAGCTAAAGAGAACTCAGCTGGGAAACTTACTACCTCTTGCAGATATTACAAAGCTTTTGGCAAATTGTTCTCCTCAGCAAAGGAAAGAAAGTGTGTCTCTGGCCATCTCAAGCGGAATCTGATAGACAAAGGATGTTACTTGCAGAGCTGGGAGAATAAATCAGGAGGGCTCCTGGCTTGGAGAAGCGGGTACTACAGACTCCCTGCTGAGTCCATGCTTTTCCTTCAATAGACAACAGGTTAGGCCACTGGAGCAGGTCATTCTTTGTTTCAGAACCTCGGGGAATTCTGCTCCTTGGCAGAGATGAGAGAAATATGACTGAATTGGCTTAATGTAATTATTCTGCTCCATTTTATACAGGAAAAGCTGTAAGAGATAAGGCATGGAGAGACTATGGAAATACACCTATGGAAGCTGGAATATATGCAAATGTCTGTGAAAATCAAGCAGGTAAGAGAACTTTGTTGGGAATTTTGATTGGTTTGGTTGGTTGGTTTTAGGTTTTCATCTTATTTTTTTAAGGTCGTAGAAACACACGGGTACAATGTTTCCTTCCCACTCCTAATACCGTTCTACTTTCCAGGGACAACAACCAGTTTTTAAAACCTTCCACAGGTAGTCTGCATATGCTGACATCTAAACTTGTGGCAGCAATGGCTGCATGTCTTACTCTACATCTTGATTTTTTTTCACTTAACAAAATATCTTGGAGATATTTTGTATTTGGAATGATCCTCACTGTGTCCCAAAGCCCTTTATGATCACCTCTTTTTTTAAAAAAAAATGTTTTTATTGATTTGAGAGAGGGAGAGAGAGAAGCATTGATGAGAGAGAAACATCAATCATATGCCTCCTGCACGCCCCTACTGGGGATCGAGCAGCAAGCCAGGCATGCACACTGACCGGGAATTGAACCAGTGACCTCTTGGTGCCTGGGGCGAGGTTCCACCAACAGAGCCACCCCAGCCAGCTATGATCATCTCTTAAAGTAGGCATCGTATGCATGGTAAATAGACCCACGACCTGGCCAACAAGAATAATCCCAGCCAAAGCTGACCAAGGGCCAGCCATGTTCCAGGCACAGCGCTAAGCAATTTAGCTGCCCTGTCCAACATAAACAGCGCTAACTCCCAATTTATGTCATTCCCATTTTACAGATAAGGAGTCTGTGCCAGGCTTGGAACCAAGACAGTGTGTTTCCACAGCCCAAGATGGTAAGCGCTCTCCACGAAGTCCAGAAGCTGCACGCCATTGCGAGGCCAGCCAGCTAAGCCACTACCCTCAAGTGGTCAGAGTTTCCGTTTATAGGCCCAGTAACTCTGTTCCTTGTCTTTTGCCCAGAAACCACACAGTCTCAGGAGATACATTATGCCACCCCTGTGTTCCAGGGAGTGAAACCAAGAGATCACGGTGAGCTGCAGTTTGGGATAAGAGATGCTACTGAATGAGACAGTGGTCCCTGTGAGGCCACCTTACTCCAGGACTTTAGGAGCCCAAGAATCGGGTGCATGGGGCAACATGTACACCCAGGAGACCAAGAGTAACCAATACATGGCTCCTAACAAATCTATCAGGAGCTGGGTGGGTGGGGAGGAGGGGAGGATGGGACAGGGAGAGTATCATATAAAACATCCAGAGAGGAGAATGGAGGGGCACTTCCAAACCATTTTCAGGAATAAATTACTTGAAAAAAGATGAAGGGATTAAGTACATGAGGATGTCAAGTACAGCACAGGGAATATAGTCAATAATATTGTAATAGCTATGGATGGTGCCAGTTGGGTACTGGAACTGTCAGAGGGAACACCGTGTAAAGTATAGGATTGTCTAAGCACTGTGCTGTCCACCTGAAACTAATACAAAATAATATTGAATGTAAACTGTAATTGAAAAATTAAAAAGCAAATTTTTATTTTTAAGGAATAAATTACTTGATATAGTCCAGGAAAAAACAGTTAATACTTGGTTCTGTCAGTCCAACCAGCTACTAAAATAGAATTTTTTTTTATTAGCTACTCTATGGATATATATTCTAAGTTTACTAAATTATTTCCTCTTTTATATTTCAGAAGCCTATAATGATGATAAAACTGTATATGTCTATTCTGAACTCAACATCTGACATTTAAAGATACAAACTACGCCTCAGGGTAAGATGACTTTTATAAAGCTGATTTACATGAAGAAAAGGCAAACCTGATAGACACTTTAATAGTCTCTCCTGGCTCCCTCAAGTGAATCACTGTTTTTCATGATGAAACACCGTTCCTTTGGCACATTCGGGTACTGCCAGTCCTGCCATCAAACAACAGCTTTGTCAGGTGGGAACCTGACTGGTGACAGTTTTTAAATGCTTCTGCTATTTTTAGGCATGGGCCTTTCTCCCCATTTCCACATCACTTGAAAAAGAGTAACTGTTAAACCACTGTGCTTTTCCTAAGTGCATCCTGAAAACACTATAATGGGCATCTTTCCAGTTTCCCTATCCCTGTGCCCACTGAAGGTTCAGAGGCAAAAACACAAAGCAAACACCACGCCTAAATTCTAAAAGAGAGAGCGGTGACCTTGAAAATGTGTCAGGGAAACAGCGCCTACAGTCACCACCAGAGGCAGGCAAGATTACTCAACAAGTGCACATTGATTATTCATTGCCATTTAAATTTGCTCAGATTCTGGGAGGCTGCAAAAATATTTCTGTTGATTTTCATGGACTTTCTCAGTCCTCGAGATGGAGCTAATGTCAAAGGCGTGCCTGCAGGTGCTGCATTCCTGTTTTGTGGAGACAACAGGCCCGAGCTGAGTTGGGGGAAAAGAGGGAAGGGGTTCATTTCCTAGGACTGTAGTAACAAATTATCATCAACTGGTGGATTAAAACAACAGAAACTTATTTTCTCACAGTTCTGGAGGCCAGAAATCCAAAATCAAGGTGTCAGCAGGCCCACACTCCCTATGGGAGAAGCCTTACTTGCCTCTGCCTTTCTGGGGGTTCCCGGTGTTTCTTGGCTCGTGGCAGCATCACTCCAATATCTGCCTCTGTCTTCACGTGGCCTTCTCTTCCTCTGCTGTTCTCTTACAGGAAAACTGGTCACAGGATTTAGGAATCACCCGGATAATCCAGGATGACCTCATCTCAAGATCCTTAACTTAATTTCATCTGCAAAGACCCTTTTTCCAAACAAGGTGACATTCACAGGTTCCAGGAGTTAGGACTTGTACATTTTTTGGGGGGGTCACTACAGGGAACAAATGAGAGAGAAATAACACCTATGCCATGGAGCTACTGTGAGAGTTAATTCAGGTGACAAATGTAAAGAGCTTCTCAGCATCTTCCACTGGCCGAGATGCCCAGGCGGGGATGCCCCCTGCCTCCAGCTTCTGGGCTGCAGGTGGGCATTCCAAGCGGGCCCACTCAGAACACTTGAAAGCGCCAGGGCAGAAAATGAGTGATATGTGCTGTACACTTGAAGCACAAAACTTAACACAAAGTGAGTGAAGTCGCAGATGCAGCTGGAATCCAAGGTGAGGCCCAGAGGATGTGACACGGGACACAGAGGTGGCTGGTATGCATCTCTCAACATTTCCTTTATAACAACTACGACGACAGGAACTATCATGTGTTGGGCATGTACAGGCTCCAGGTACTGTGCAGTGCTTCGTGACACATCCGCACACGGTCCTTGCCACTGGCTCCTCACCCAGCTCCACCCCACCCCGCCACCTCCACGGCTTTTGGATTGCACCATTTAGGCAGCGAGGAGGAAGATGAGGACCTACTGGGCTTTCACTTCAGTATCTACTTTTCCTCATGTCTAGAAGTTTCACTTTGGTTCTTTTTCAAATCCACTGATTCTTTAAACATTTTCTGTTGTGAAATAGAGCACACATTATATGGAAATGCATAAAAATATATATGTAGTTAAATAAATTATATCAAGTGAATACTCGTGATGAAATGTCACCAGCAGCCCAGAGACCCTCTGCAGGCCTCTTCCCAATCACAACCCCACCTCTCCAACTTAGGTACTCTTTTATGGAACATTCAGGCAGTTGTGAGTTTGGGGCTATTACAAATAATGGGGCTATGACTATTCTGATGCCAGGGCGAAGTCTCCTGGTTCCCAAGGGCACGCAATTATGTTGAACATGCGCAGGAATGGGTCGGGGTATGTTTANTTATGGGCACGCAATTATGTTGAACATGCGCAGGAATGGGTCGGGGTATGTTTATCTCCAGTCTAAGTAGACAGGGCCACACAATTTTCCAANATCTCCAATCTAAGTAGACAGGGCCACACAATTTTCCAAAGTGGTTCTTCGCTGCCCGTTAAAGCATAATGTGCTCTGAGACCATGAATACAATCCTCCTGTGCAGGCTGAGGTCCCTAAGACGAGGTAACTGAAAAATCACTTTTAAAAAATAACCTTTTTAGTTTCTTAGTTATATTAAAACTAAGTATTGAACCCCAAACTGCAAAAGTGAAATTGAAAATTTTAAGTAGACATGCGGTGGTAATGTTGGTCTGTCAATTCTGAGACGACTGTGATTACCATGAGACGAAGCACATGAGCTCGTGTGGCATGGCATTCTACCAGCCTCAGGATTCCTGAGAAGTGGGGTTCTTGCCATGAGAGAGACACAGGTGTATGTGAGAAGAGGTTAAGTAAAAGCCCTGTCTATAGTCCTAAAGGGGCACGAGGGGACTTTTTTTTCAGTGATGGAAACGTTCTATATTGTCATTGTGGTGATGGTTACACATTTGTTAAAACCTGCATTTGTACCTTTAAAATTGGTCAATTTATTGTATGTAAATTATATACTAATAAAGTTGATTAAAACACACACAGATCCTGCAATCCTGAATTCGAATAGAAAATATCAGTGTGAATTCATGATGAATTTTTTAATTTGTGGGGAAATACAAACACACACATGCGCGTACACACACTTCTTTATTTGCTAGCTCTAAACACTGAAAGGGCCTAGAAACAAAAACCACCTTCTAACAATGAGCATCCCTAGTACTGGAGTATGGTTTCCTTAGAGAAACTCTGAAATATACGATCTCTATATTAGATACTAGATACCAAACAAGCTATCAAAGACTACTAAAGTTGGGTCAAAAGGACTCGAAGCCAACTTGAAAAGGTTCCCATTGGCCAAAGGTAGGACTGTTTAGAATAAAAAAGATTAACTTTAAAGGGGATGAATCCAGCATTTATTCTAAACCTTTCCCATAGCTCTAAGCAAATAGTAAATGAGATGTTTTTCTTTATAGAAGTATCTTAGCCAACAAATGAAGACAGAATCAGAATATCACCACTTTGCCACCTCTAATGAACTGACCGATCTAGGTATTGATCAATAACTGCTAGTATCCCCCCAAAGAAACCACCAGACATTACTGGCTCCTGATGGGAGAACACAAAGACCTAAATAATATTGCCCCCAAACTTGAACTTAAAAGCTGATCAAACCTCTGAATTCAACTTCCAATCTAGAGGAACATGTTAAATAAACTACACCATGGGGATGTAATAAATAAAAACCAAACAGTGGAAAACCCCATAATGAACTCAATTTCTGAAAGAAAGAGAGAGAGAGAGAGAGAGGAGAATCTATAGGCGAAGAGAGCTAACAACCAATTTCAATAAATAAGTTAATATAAGACAACCAAATTAGAAAAGGCAAATATTTATTACACCAATATGAAAATCTATACATTCTTAGCTGATGATATATACTTGGTTAAAAAGTCTTTTACTTTGGATATATGCATCATTTCCTTCATTGTAGTGTCTCTACTTCTCAGGTGTATTAATCCATTCTCCAAAGTAGCTTCAGTAATCAAAACTGTGAAGAGGATACTCATTTCATCATATCTAAGGAAAAAAGTAGTTAAACAAAACACATGCACACAAACATAAATTGTAAACTCACCGCATCATCAGCTTTCATTACTTAGAATCCAGGCCACTTTTAAGAGTCACAAAACTCAAAGGCAGGTCTTAAGAGCTAGACCAAAACCCACCGTTTTCAATTTTCTGAATTGCATTCAAAGTTAAATTTTCAGAAAGTTTCTCACTTATTGTAATAGCTGAAAAGTCATAAACAGAAAATAAAGTCTGAGAAATAAACACTGGTACCTCAACATACCACTTGGGGTGATATGGGTAAACCTCAGAATAACCTCAGCCTCTTGGGACTTAGATGCAGTCCAAAAAAATTATTTTAGATGAAAATCTCTTATACTACTACTATACTATAGGTATACAAATCACATAAGTACAACATAACACAGAAAGTCATGCTTGATATGTAACTTTGTATGCTAACGTAGCTTTTCAGCCAAACTCACCATGTCATTCATGTTTCTTTGCTTTGTTGGGCTCTATCAGAATTATCTTATTTGTCTATTTACTTGTTTATTGTCTATTTTATCCCACTAGGCTATAAGCTGCATAAGGACAGGGAACTTTTCTGCCTTATTTATTGCCGTATCAAAGTACAGAAAACACACTAGGTGCTTGATAATTATTTGGATAAAATATCCTAAAACAATAAAGCCTTTACAACATCAAGAAGAACGGTAACTTGATAACGTCCACATGACTCAAAGGATATGATTTTAGAACCTGAGAGGACTGGGAAGTTTAAATACCATCCCTTCATTTTATATACGACTAAACAAGTAAGTTGCTTTATCCAGAGCAACATACGTTTCTTTAGACATCACCTGAATGGTGTATTTTAACAAGTTATTAGAGAACTAAGGAGCTTGACAACTTTTCACCCAAAAGATATGTATTCAACACAAAAAGCTGAAGAAAATAACAAAATAAACCCAAGGAGGAACGAATAAATTCCTTTATTACAAAACAGAAGTTTTAAAACCAGAGACAGGAGATCAATTAGGAGATTCCTTCAGTAATCCAGCCAGGAGAGACTGCTGACCTTAATTTGGGGAGTAGCAGTGCAGATGGAGCGACGAGAATGTGAAATATACTTAAGAGGCAGGCTGACAACATTTAGTGACAAACTAGATGTGGAGAGTAAGGAAAAGGGAGCAACGAAGGATGGCACCCAGGTTTCAGTCTTGGGCAACTTGGTGAAAAGAGGGGCCGATCACTGAGGAGACTAGTTTTCTGTCCTCTGGGAGAGAATTATTTCCCACTCAGCCTCAGAATAAACCACAACACCAGCAAGGAGAAGGCACTCTACTCATGTTCCTTCAGTCCCAGCTCAACAAATGCATCCCATCTACATAATTCCAATCCTGATAAATTGGTCAACTCAGGTATACATACTTCATGACTTAAGTCTTGAAGTTGCACGTGGTATGTACTCAGGTATACCTGATGAACACCGTTTCCTGCTGTAGCAGTTAACTGTGGGCACATGGTTCTGTAAAAGGGAAAGTTAGGCCTGGCCGGCATGGCTCAATGGTTGAGCGTCTACCTAGGATCCAGGAGATCGGGGTTCGATTCCCGGTCAGGGGGCGTGCAGGAGGCAGCCGATCAATGACTCTCATCATTGATGTTTCTCTCTCTCTCCCTCTCCCTTCCCCTCTCTGAAATCAATAAAAATACATATTTTTTTTAAATGGGAAAGTTAGGAATACTTTCAAATTACATTATATAGACATACATTTAGAAGAGATTTCTGTTACTCATAAAATAAAGAAGCATCATCTAAAAAAAACCCAAAACTCCGGAAAACCACTGTTTTAGTGAAAAGGAAGACAATTCTTACTTTGAATAAAGTTGTTCCAATGAAGACTGTGCAGTTTCCAAATAACCAGGCCACACAGAAATCCCACTTTCTAGGAATTCATTAAACAGCCCTTGACAAATCTAGAAAAAAAAATACAAAAACTTCAAACATGAAAGAAATAAAAGTAGCCAGAGTCATCACTCTATTTTTGTGAAACCACAAGTCACCCTTTTCAATCTTCAAAATGGGCTTAAGTTCCTTTAATTATGTGATAATATTGTTTATAATGTATATATTATATACTTAAAAACTGTATACTTTCTCTGAAAATGAAGAAAGCAAGCACTGCAAAGCTGAATACTAAATACAGATCTTCTCTGAGAGAAAATTTTATACCAAATATAAGAATTTTGACCATCACTATCATTCAAAACACAGACAAAACCAAAAGAGGCGGGGGGCGGGGGGCTGAGCCTGAGCTAGAGCCCTTTCTCAGACTTTAGCATCAAAATCACCTGGAAAGCTTGTCAAAAACACAATGCTCAGCCTCACTCCCACAGTTTCTGATCCAGCAGGTCTGCGGCAGGGACCAAGAATTTGAATTTCTACAAGTTCCCAGGGAAAAGCCACAGCAAAGTAAATAGGTGTTGAGGTATTTGATATTTGGGGATAGAAGAGAATATAGATATTAATAAACCTAAGAAATTAACAGGGAAAAATTAATTTAGGAATAGGTTTTAATAAGTTAGTGGTTGCCAGCAGAAAAGTTGTTCTTTGTAATGGAAGGTAGAAAAGGAGAAAAAACCCTCTAAGCACATGAAGTGCTGACACGGGGAACCGAGAGCCCTCGCACCATGGCGGAGCACAAACAGGCGCAGCCAGTCTACAGAGCAATCCAGCTGACAGTGAAATTAAGGGTACACACTCTTTTTACCCAGAAACCCCACCCCAGTGCATACAACTAGCAAAAATTCTTGCACAGTCCAGAGAGTTACATGCATAAGGATTCTGTCATACTGCTGAGGCACCAAAGTTAAAAACAGAATAAGACAGACAATAAAGTACCCTTTTGGTAAATTAAAAACACCCAAGGCAGAAAATACTACTATATTCTTATAAACAAACAAAAGGCCAGCAACTGTAATGACAAAAATCTAGGGAATAGAATTATTTTTTGTCCTTCAAGCAAAAGAAACCTAGGAACTTGCTACCTATAAGTGTTGGGGAGCCTGCCACAACTCTTGAGAGGAAAAGTGGAAATTAAAATATTATCTTCCCTTTCCCTGAGCTTCCCAGACCCCACCTTCCCAGGCCCCTCCACAGGAACCCCAGCAGAAAGCTAGGTGCATCTTTCCAGGGTCCTCACTCAGGTCCCGGATGAGTCTGAGTCACCCGGACAGAAATGATGACTGTTGAAAGGGTCTCTGGAAAGAAACTGAAACCACCCTCCTGGCTTTTCTCAAGAGTATTTAGATCAGATAGATTAGAAAAAATCAAAATAAGATTCTTGATCTAGAATCTGTGCTTACAGCAGCAAGTATCAAAAGCATTAAGTTAAAAAGGGAAGGGGGCAAGAAATAATTCATTAGACATCTGTATAAATATTTTGATTACCAAAACTATGCATACTCACTTTAAAAAATGCAACTATGGGCATGATGTTAACAGCAAAATCCACTGAATTGTATTCATTTTCTTTAATATATATACTTCAAATTATAAACAATTAATTATAAGTATTTATCCACAGTTCATTATTTAGGTAAAAATTTTTTAAAAGCAAATAAAATAAAATTTTAAATGGAAAACTCATTCACTTGGAAAAATGGGTATAATTAAAATCATGACATTTAACCCACCTGTCTTAGTTCCACTGTTGGGCCTCTTCCCATATCCAAAGCAACCTTAATAGGGGCTAAACAAGGGTGAAGCTTAAGTACCTAAAGCAATCAAAAGGGGTG